TTGGGCATATGTTGGGGATATGTTGGCTATCTGGGGCCTATGTTGGGGAGATGTAAGGCAACTTATGCGCCCAACACCCATGAAATGTCGATTAAGCCTGTCCGCGCGGCACGCGTAACCGACGCCGCCGGCGCCCTGTTAGGCGAAAGTCGTGTCCGCCAAAGGCCACGAAACACGGTAAAAAACGATGTTTTCCACATCACGCGCAAAAAGACTAGTAGATAACATATAAATCTGTCGACCGGATTCGACCTGAGGTCGACCTGAGGTCGACCGGGGGTGTCCCCGCGGTCTAACAAAAGGGTCGGCGGCAGGGGCGGCGAGCGTACATAACCTTCGGTTACCAACTGAAGGCCTCCGGCAAGGACACGGGCCCGTGGCCGGCGCCCGGATTGTAAGGGCTTCGCCCTGGTGCCGCCGACCCCTATTTTAATGAAAAGGAATAGGTAGACAGGCAAAACAGAGCTTCGATGCCGTAAGCACGCAACGATACCACTTCCAAGTGCCTCCATCATCTGTAACCTTGCTCAGCGCCAACTCAACCGTAAATCCTAAATCATCTGTAGACTTCCATATTTTTTGTTGCTGAAGACTGGTTGCGCTATTTGCATCAATCCTTTCACCACAAGATCTCGAGAGAAAACAATGGCCCCACAGCCATGTCCCTCAGCAGCGCTCAGCAAGAAGTCCAGCAACTGATTGTCAATACTATCAGCCGCAGTTTTCTTCCTACTCTTGCACGTTTCCAGCTCTTTCTTGGAAGCTTCTAAAGCTTTGCCCTTCCTGCGGACTGACTGCTGCAAGAGCCTTGTTTTCTTTCTCAAGTCACTAATAGTTTGGTCTCTTGCCAATTCTCGTAATTCTGATTCTTTCAATTTTCTATCTTGCTCAGCCACTACTTTCAACAGGCCCATCCAAGACAAAGCCCCATATGTTCTTTGGTATTCCTCTAGATCTGCAGCTGCTACATCTGAAGAAGACGCTGACCTTTTGACGCCCTGTCTGCCAGACGAAGATGACTGGCCACCTGAATCATGCCATTCGGTGGCATTCTGAGCATTCTGCTTTCTCTGAGCATGTCGCCGTTGCGCAACATTGAGTAGTCCATCACCACTACCTGGGACCGAGTAGCAACATCTGTGGTGGTGGTGGTAGCCTGAAGCCTGAAACCTTAAATGCATTGAAGTATATAATGTTTCCCTGCCTCACACAAATGAACAACAACCCACCAAACCGAAAACACCATCAAAGACAGCCTGAATGGCCTGAATGGCAAACTGTAAACAGCATAGTGTAGAGGCCTGGATACCTTTGGAGGTCCCGCGCCGACTTCTACATCGGGATGATGTAGCCACCCTTCGTGCAGTTATACCTGCGAGTTGCTGCTCTGATATTCCGGCCATGCAAGCACGTGGCAACAATTGACTCTTGATTCCTGACTCACAATGAGTTGGCCCAATAGTCAAAACCATGGCCCAGACCCACTTGGGATGTAGAAGAAGATTGATGTACACTTGCAGAATCTGAAGCAGTACCTGACTCGTATTGCAAGCAAATTGAACTTGAGCTATGAGGAAGCCTTGCAAGGAAATTGAGCAACAAAGGGTTGTTCAGCACTTGCAATCCAGTTGCTATGTGTATTCGTTGGCTCATGTTCTAGGGTGATTGACAGGCCAGGATGTTGATGATTAATGCTCCTCACAATGTTTTCCCACACCTCTGGCTGCACATTCACGTGAAAGGATTCCAAGCTTC